TTTAATGATAAACTTGATATGCGCGCTGTAATTACGAACATTTAAAAAAAATTTGAAGTCTCTAGCTCTTATATCTTCTGAAATCGACGCGTTCATACATACGGACAGACGGACAGACGGACGGACGGACAGACGGACAGACGGACAGACAGACGGACAGGGCCAAATCAACTCAGCTCGTCGCCCTGATCAAGAATATATATATTTTGTGGGGTCTACCACGCCTCCTTCTCCCTGTTACATAAATTTCAACAAAACCATTATACCCTGATTTCCCATTGAAAATGGGTTCAGGGTATAAAAACATCAACAAACAATAACAATTTTTACGTAAATCACATGCAATTTGACTTGATACATTTTTATAGGAACCTCGTAGGGAGGTCCTGTGGATGGCACTTCTTCAGTCTTCTTTTTCTGGCTGCTTTCTTAAGTCTTCTTGCCAAAGGGTTTGGGTGGCCTTCGAGTCTTGCAAGGTAGCTAGCAGCTACCTTTTGCACCCTGAGATCTTTTTCAATGTCCCTGGTACGCATATACCAGGGAGCATTGCAAATTTGCCGGAGGATTTTTGCTTGTGCAACTCTTATTTTATTGAAATTTGTTTTTGCCGCAATCCCATAGATTTGAAGCGCATATCTCCATATGGGGCTGAGTATTGATTTATAAATTGTCACTTTATTGTATAGTGACAATTTATTGGCCGGCTTAAGAAGCCATGACATTTTTGCGCTTTTGGACAAAACAGACTTTTGACCATCGTGGTGTGCATATTAAATGTAAGCCTTCTATCTAACGCTACACCCAGATATTTGTGGCTTCTTTTGTGCGGTAGTGTTGAACCCATTAGCATGATTTGAGGAAGGATCCTATGTTTTTTTCAAGGACAGACTTTGGAGGTGGCTCCGTCATGATTTGTGGTACATTTTTTATACCCTGAACCCATTGAAAATGGGAAATCAGGGTAAAATGGTTTTGTGAAAAAGTATGTAACGGGCAGAAGGAGGCGTGGCAGACCCAACAAAGTATATATATTCTTGATCAGCGTGACGAGCTGAGTCGATATAGTCCTGTCCGTCCGTCCGTCCGTCCGTCCGTATGAGTGCGTCGATCTCAGAAGTTATAAGAGCTAGAGAGCTGAAATTTGGCATGCATACTCGTGAGTACCATACACAGTAAGAGTTTGCTTTATTTTTTCGATAAATCGTCCGATAACTTTTTTATCGAGAATAATCGAAAAATTGGTTTTTTTTTTTTAGCCTAATTTGAACATTTATAGACCTGGAGTCTTCAAATTTGCGTTGTATATAAAGTTAATCGATACAATGATTTTGTGATTTACAGATTTTGGATACCACGCCCCCTTCTCCTCCAATTTGTAAAAAACGCATTTCAAGTACTAGAGACTTGTGCTTTGGAATGTACACACATATTCACCATATGATTACGCTCTATTCCTTTCATTGAGATCATATGTCTACAAAAGAAATTATTCAACAAATAAATTCCCATAATATTGCTTACACTGCAGCGCAGCCCAAGCGCAGTCGCTGCTTACTGCGCAGTTAGCAGAGCGCAGGCCTATGCGTGCGTGTGGATGCATGTGTATGTATGTGTGCATAAAAGAAGTGCAGAATGATTAGAATATCAGCTTAGAGGGTTCAGGGTATCTCCTAGTCGAGCAGTCTCGACTAGAGCCTTCTTACTTGTTTGATATATTAAGAGAAGGCAAAATAAAAGGACCCGATAACAACATTGAATGCAGCTACTAGTTCGTCGACTTTCATTAGCGTCGTAAACGACGACATAGCTATAGATTCAATAGTTCGCAAGTTCTGGGAGTTGGAAGAAAAGCCAAATACAATTAATTCGAATTTGTATACCCCAGAGCAACAACTGTGCGAGAAGTCATTTGTGGAGACTATTTGCCAAACTACCTCGGGTCGTTTCAGAGTGTCGCTGCCATTCAAATCAAGCCCACATTGTCTTGGTACGTCTTATGACACAGCCAAGCGACGATTCCTGGCCTTGGAAAGAAGAATGAGCAAGCAAGAAGACATTCGGCCAATGTACATTGACTTTATGAAAGAATACTTGGCCTTGGGTCACATGAGCCCAACTAACAATCAAATTCCGAGAGAGCCGCATTATTTCATCCCATATCAATGCGTGCTAAGACCGCACAGCTCATCCACTAAACTTCGAGTAGTGTTTGATGCCTCTAGCAAGTCCTCCTCTCAATTGTCGCTGAATGATCTACTCATGGTGGGTCCGACCATCCAGCCGCAGTTATGAGAGACTTTGCTAAGATTTCGACTTCGTCCTTGGGCTGCTACTGCAGACATCGCTAAAATGTACCGTCAAATTGAACTTGACGAGTCCCACCGCAACTTTCAACTTATTGTGTGGAGGGAAACGCCCACTGATCCGTTACAAATCTTTCGATTAAACACAGTAACGTACGGGACAGCGACTGCTCCATTCTTAGCAATTCGATGTTTAAAACATCTAAGCGACTTGCATGCTTCCACTCATCCAGCTGCTGCAAGATCGTTAGCCCGAGATTTCTATGTTAATGACTTGTTGACAGGAGCAGATAGCGTTGAAGAATTGTGCTTGTTGCATCGAGACTTGATAGCAATTCTTCAAAAGTTTGGATTTCCTCTCACGAAATGGTCGTCAAATTGTAAACAACTCGCAGCACAACCAGCTAGAAACGATATAGTTATTGGTCATCAAGAGGACACAAAAACATTGGGATTAATTTGGAATCCAATGAATGACAGCTTTAGATATTCCATGAACTGTCCAGTGGAAGTTCAACAGACCAAAAGATCCGTTTTGTCATTTGTAGCAAGGTTATACGACCCCTTAGGTTTGTTAAGTCCGATCGTAACTCGTTCGAAGGTCCTTTTACAGGAAATGTGGTTGCACAAACTTGGGTGGGATGACCAATTGCCTGTTCAAATGAGGCAAGAATTTGAGGCAGTAGCTGTTTCTCAAATCTAAACTCGTTGCATATACCTCGTTACGTTGGCACACTTAAATCGAAAGGATGTCAAATCCATGGATTTGCTGACGCCTCAACGAGAGCTTACGTTTGTTGTTTATACGTAAGAATGCAAACAGATAAGGGTATCACTACCAGGCTGCTAGTCGCCAAATCTAAGGTAGCGCCCTTGAAAACAAAATCTGTTCCGCGGCTGGAGTTGTGTGCTGCAGAATTGTTAGCTACCTTATGGGATGCGGTTAAGAAAGTACTTGGTGGTCCTATTAATCAAGTCACATTTTGGTCAGACTCTGAGGTGGTGCTTCATTGGCTGCGAATGCATTCATCTAGCTTGAACACATTCGTTGCTAATCGCATTGCAACCATCCAAGAGTTGACAACTAATGTATCTTGGCGTCATGTACCAACGAAAGACAACCCAGCAGATATTGTATCTCGGGGATGTTCAGTTGAGGAGCTTAAAACATCATTGTGGTTTTGCGGACCAGGATTTTTAAAGCTTTCTGACACATTGTGGCCAGCCAACCCACAAATCACCCTATCAAAGGAGTTAGAGCTGCTAGAGAAGCGTAGAACTGCAATTACTATGATCGCGGTCGATGAGGTAACAAATCCCATCGTACATCTTATTGAGTCAACGTCATAATTTTCTAAGCTAATCCGCATCGTTGCCTATATGTTCCGCTTTATCAATGGAAAACAAGAAAGTCATTCTTCACTTGTTCCTACAGCTTCTGAGTTAAGCTTCGCATTCCTTGCAGTTATATCTGTAATTCAACACATTGAATTCAGCGAAGAAATAAAGAAAATAAAGAAGTCAGTCGTGTTGCAACCGTCATTGCAAAAACTGACACCGTTTTTGCACCCACATCAGCATGGCAGGCGTATGTTATGGTTGCTACGAGTAGGAGGTCGTTTATTGAAGGCACCATTAGCATTCCCATTATTGCTTCCAAAAAAGTGTCGTTTCGTAACGCTTTATTTGGAGCATTTGCATCGCTCTCATTGCCACGCCAATCCCCTAGTACTAATGGGCCTGCTTCGTCAGCAGGTTTGGCTGGTCAATGCTCGACAGGCTTGCAGTGCAGTAGTCCGAAAATGTGTACATTGTTTTCGCTACAAGCCGAAACTCTTATCCCAAATAATGGGCAATCTTCCCGCTGATCGCTTACATGGAAATAGGCCATTTGAGATCAGTGGAGTGGACTTTTGCGGTCCAATACTAATTTCGCTGGGAATTCGGGGTAAATCGCCAGTCAAAATGTATATTGCCATATTTGTTTGCTTTACTTCGAAGGCAGTGCATCTTGAATTAGTCACCGATTCAACCTCAAATTCATTTCTGATGTGTTTATCCAGGTTCGTTGGTCGACGTGAGCTTGTCCGGAAGCTGTATTGCGACAATGCCACCAATTTCGTGGGTGCTGCACGCACGCTGGACCTCAAAACTACGTTCCATGGCAACACAGCGGACATGGAAATGTTTGCTGCGGAGCGGGGCATGAAGATTGTGTTCATCCCTCCTCGAGCGCCGCATTTTGGCGGCCTTTGGGAAGCGGCGGTGAAATCCGCCAAGGGTTTGCTGCTGAAAGCGATGGGCAGCGCTCGATTACGGCAAGACGAGGTGGCCACCGTGCTGGTCGAGGTCGAGGCCGTGCTCAATTCGCGGCCAATGGGCGCTCCCAGCAGCAACCCAAACGACGGCGAAGTGCTCACGCCAGGGCACTTCCTGATAGGAGCAACGCTCGTGCCGCTGCCAATCGCGTCCACAGAGCCAGTCGACGACGCCAAGCTGACACTCTTAAAAAGATGGCAGCTGACATCCAACATCAAGCGTCGATTTTGGAACGACTGGTCAAGGGACTACCTGCTCAGCCTGCAGCAGAAGTCAAAATGGACGAAGGAGAGGCAGAACGTACAGGTCGGAGCAGTCGTGCTCGTGGGAGAGGACAACGCTCCTCCACAACAGTGGAAGCCATAGTCGGAGGAGATGGTAGAGTGCGCGTAATTGTCGTTAAGACAAAAAATGGCACATATAAAAGGGCAATTCATCGCGTTGCACCACTGCCACTCCACTAATACACCATATTATTGAAGCCATGCGGCCTTTCAACGCGGCCGATGTTAAGGCATTTGGATATTTGCCCTCTGAATTATTATTATATTATATATAAATTAAATATTCGGAAGCGGTTTTTGTATTAAAAAAACACACAAGAATAATTATACAAGTAATATTTATATGAAAGCTGCCGCTGCTGCTATTGGCGTCGCTGCCGCCGTGGTCACTGCTGTTGCTGCTGAATAGGTGTCTTGTGACACGATGGCTCTCACGGTGGTTGCTGATCGGTGCGCACGTTGACCAGAATGTGTTTTGGCCAAGTGCATTGATCTTATTAATATTGCTGACGATAGGCTCCCACGGTTGCGGTTGCGTTGCTGTTGCATTCTGCTGACAAAGCGCACGTGTCAAAAGTGCATGCACTGGAGCCGTGATATAATTGGGCCGGTGCAATGCCCTTTTGTAGGGTCTGTCGTTAACTCTTCCCCCCTTAGATGCGAACGTCCTCGGTCGCAATATAGAAAACTTGAGCATTTTCTCTCTTTTCTGCTTCGGGTGTTGTGACTTGGCCTGTGGTGGTTGGGGTCTTTCGTTTTAGCAAATATCCAACTACGGCCATAATTATCAGTAGAGTTCCAGAGAGAGTTATATTGATTGTTGCTCTTATATCGTTGCTGCTCTTTAGGGTTTCTAATTTTCTTGTGTTGTTTAGATTTATTTCCTTGAGCATTTGCAGTGAAAGGACTTCGTCGATCTTGTTTGTTTTCGCCATGATTTGAAATAGCGGTGGGGTGGCTTCTGCGAAGGACATTACTTTTGATTCGTATATGTCATCTTCGATGCGTATCGTGGAGTTTTCGAATTGTACCAGGAAGGTACCATGGAGTTCTACTTCCTCTTCGTCGATCTTGATTGATCCATTGAAATCGTTGAGCAATATTGTTCCGACAAACAGCTGTTCGTGATTGGGTACGTGTTGATTGTTGATAGCACGGCAGTTTGGAGGTTGGTTTTTTAATAGTGGCAGAGTACAAGTATCATTTCTTAAGTCGACTAACTTATTTTTATTACAAATTGTTTTTTCATTATGCGACTCACATGAGTCTCTTATAGCATAGATTGAATTTTCGCATTTTACAATATTTTCGAATTTTATTTCATTGATATAATTTTTTCTTTTAATTGGCTTAATTAACATGGTTGTACAAACTTCATTTGAGATTAAAGGTATGTTGATTATATAGAGTATATTTTTTCCATTACTTGCGATTTTTATTTGGCTAAATTCTAACAATTCTTCTGCATTTAAGAACATGATTTTTTCTCTTTCTAGTATCTGCTCTATTATTTTGACTTCGGATTCTGACAATATTATTGAGTTTATTGTATTTGTTTTTGCCCAGTCTATGGCATGAATTAAATTAGTTAAATCGTCTTTAAAGATTTGGAGCTTGTATTTAAAAAACGTGATTTTTTCCTCTTGAATATTAGAATGATCTTTTACAATTTTCATTATGTTATTTGAGGTTTGTGTTATTTCATTGATTCTATCTTGCAATACTCTATTGATAACTACTTGTTTATTATTATTTTCTAATTGCTCATTAATTTTTGTAATTAAAACCTCGTGGTCACTATGGTCCGGTGTACCGGCCAGCCATTTCCATGCTGTTCTAATGGTTGAATTCCTGTTTTCTGCTACAGTTTCTTTCTTGTATTTGGGTGTGAGTTTTGAACCTAGGCGCTTGTTTATTTTTACATAGACTATCTCCCCTGGTTCGTAAGCTTTAATTTCCTGTCTCTCTTTATTGTGGTAATTTAAATCATATTTTTGTTTATCTAGTAGCTTGTTGGATATTATCTTCCTATTCTCTTCTGTTTTTTCTGGGTTATCCTGAACTGTTGTGCCGAAAAATATCTCTATTGGTTTCTTTTTAGTAACTGAATGGTAGGAGGCGTTATATTCTTGTACTGCTTTAAAGAGTGTATCTGTGAAACTCATATCTTTATTGTCTTTTCTTAGGCAAGTCATTATTTCTGAAAGAGTGGAGTGGAATCTCTCTATTTGTCCGTTACTTGTTGAGTTATATGGAGGGGTTGTATAAACTTCGATACCTAGCTGGTCTTGCAACAAAAACTTTATGGAGGCTGAATTTAAAGCTCGTTCGTTATCGATTACTACAGTTTTGGGCATACCGAATGCAATTAGTATTTCTCTTAACGGGATTTTTATATCTTCTGCTGCTCTTGAGTTTAGAATCTTGACTTGAACGTATTTTGAGAATTTATCAATGCTAGTTAAAATAGTTTTATTTTCTGTTATATAAATATCTATATGAATGATTTCGCCTGGAAATTTGGGAATTGGTGTTGCTTGAATTGCGGGATGTGGAGGGTGTCTATCATACTTTGACTCTCTGCATGTTAAGCATGCTTTTGTAATTTCCTTAACTTTTTTGTGGAGTTGTGGGAAGAAAAATTTTTCTAGAATTTGGGCTTTATTTTCTGATGCATTTCTGTGTGCTCGTCTATGTTCTTGCGTTATAATTTTATTCTGTTCATCGACGCTTGTAATGTCTTCTACCTTTCTTTGGGTATATCGTATTTTATAATTTGAAAAGTGAAGTGGATAGAATTCCTGTATTTTGCTCATAATATGTTCTGGAGTAAATAAGCCGTTAATAAGTCTTGGGTCAAGTCGTTTCTTGAAAATATCGATTAATTCGTCTTCAGTAAAGTGGGGTTGTGTTACTGTATGCCTATGATATGTAGGAAAGGGAATTTCGAATTTATAATCATGCTTTTCGCCGATTATTATGAATAACTGATTCTTGAAAACGTTAATAGGCGTTTCTATTGTAGGGATGAGATTGTGTGACGAACTTTCATCACTCATAACTGTGGTTTCTGTACTATTGATTTCGTTTATTGGGTTTCTTGATAAAGCGTCTGCTACTATGTTAGTGGTTCCTGGCTTGTACTTTAAGTCGTAATTGAACTCTTCTAAGTAACTCTTCCAACGTTTCAATTTTCCGTTGTGATTTTTATTACTCAGAGCAAAGGTTATTGGTTGGTGGTCTGTGAATATAATAACTTTGGCAGTTCCATACAAGTAAATTCGAAGGTTTTGCAATGCCCAAACTATGGCTAGCATTTCCTTTTCATTAGTTGCATAGTTCTCCTCTGTTTTTGACAATGTTCGTGATATAAAAGTAATGGGTCTACCTTCCTGTTCAACGACTGCACCGATTGCGTAGTTTGAAGCATCGGTTGTTAGATGGAATTCTTTAGAGAAGTTTGGATAATTTAGGATTACGTCATTAGAACAAAGAGTCTGTTTTATTTTGTTAAATGCTTCTATTGCCTTGTTATCTAACTTTATCTGTACTTTATCTGATGCTTTTGCTGATATACGACCATCTTCACCTCTGAGATGAGTGGTAAGAGGCTTAGCTAATTTTGCATAATCTTTTATGAATCTGCGGTAATAGCCGGAGAGGCCTAAGAACGATCGTAGTTCTTTATGAGTTTTGGGTATGGGGAATCTAGAAACCGCTTCAACCTTTTCTGGATTTGTCTTAACGCCACTGTCTGAAATGGTGAATCCTAGGAAATTCACTTCCTTTTTGAAAAATTCACATTTGTCCATTTGGACTTTCATATTAGCGTTAAGTAAAGTCGTGAAGACTTGTTTTAGGTGATGAGCATGTTCGTTTTCAGTTTTGCTGAAAACAATGATGTCATCAATGTAGACATAGCATATTTTTCCAACATGATCCCTTAGAATATCATCTAAGGCTCTTTGGAATATTGAAGGGGAATTCTTGAGACCAAAAGGTAGTCTTGTAAATTCGTACTTCCCTCCGTTGACAGAAAATGCTGTCTTTTCTATGTCTGTCTCCTTCAAAGGAATTTGGTGGAAACCACTTTTGAGGTCGAGGACCGTGAAGAATTTATTGTCCCCTAAGTGGGCTATGATGTCCCCTATTTCTGGCATAGGGTATCGGTCGGAGATTGTGACCAAATTTAGCTTGCGTTAATCGATTACTAGTCGGTATTTCTTTTTTCCTGAGACATCAGATTTCTTTGGTACGATCCATACTGGAGCGTTATACGGTGATCTAGAGGGTCTAATGACTCCGTCGTCAAGCATTTCTGATATCTGCTTTTCGACTTCTTGCTTTAGAGCAATGGGATATGGGTAATGCCTGCTGTAAACTGGGGTGTCGGTATTGGTTCGGATCTCTCCTACTACTTTAGTCGTGTAAGTTAATTTTTGCTCTGGGTCTGCAAATAACGGTTTAGTTTCATAAATAAGTCGATCTATTATCTTTTTCTGGTTATCGGACATATGACTTGTTCGGACCTTTATATTGTTAACTGCTTGTGCGGGTAATTGCTTAATACGGAATTTATTACTGCCATTTACTATAAGGATATCATTCCTGACATCGATAACAACATTGAGTTGTTTCATTGTATCGTTGCCTAGAATGCCATGAAAAGTTTTTAGAGTGGGCAATACGAAAAATCTGATTGGGGTTTTGAGGTTAAATAGATTCAAAAAGATATGATGGGTTATGGCTATTTTTCCACCTATAGAATTAGCGAAAAAAGCTTCTTTGTTTTCTTTTGCGTTGTTTACTAGGGAAGACTGTATGTAATTCTGGTTGGAACCAGTATTAATGAGGAAGTTTAATACCTGTCCGTCCCTCGTTTTGCATTGGAAGTAAGGTAACGAGGAACGATTTAAGCTAAAAAATTGACATCGGACATATCAGCAATTTCTACCTGAGTCTGGTTGTCTGTAGTTGCTTCGTTTTCTTATGGTGCTTCGACGATACCTTGCTCCTCTGCAGCAGCATAGTAAGCCTGTTCACTCATACACTGCTCGTATGCCTCGGCATAAGCTTCGGCGGCGTATGCATTTGCATATGCATCTGCGTAAGCGTTAGCCTCATCATCTACTTGGGTTTCCCAAGTATTGATATGAAATTGTCTCTGATGCTTGAATGGGTTTTCTGCCCTAGAAGATAAGGGTCTTTTCCCAG